CGCGGAGCGATTCGCTGTGGATATGGAGAGATTTCTGGAGGCTAGGGCTTGGGAGGTGGTTCCCGGAGGGATTATGGTGATCATTTGTTTGGGCGTTTCTGATGGCGTTTCTGCTTCTCAGCTTCCGTTTGGAATTCTGTATGATAATTTGGCTTCTTCTCTCATGGACATGGCTACGGAGGTAAATCTACCGATAAACAGAGTTTTAATAAATATAAGTTTAACAACTATCATCTAAATACATATTTAACAAATTTACTTTTTTGCCCAACTAATCAGAGTTAACAAATCAGTTCGTATTTAATTTCTCCGATCTTTATAACTTCTTTACAATGATTTTTCTTACATAAAACACTCACGAATCATCCGTCCATTTATTTTTATTTATAATAAATTGTATGGCAAAAGAAAAAAATAAAAAATCTCAAATTAAATAAGATAAAGAAAAAATTCGAAAGAAAAAACTTGGGCATTTAGTTTGTAAATTTTTTTTTTTAAATGTTCACTAGGTTTTGGGCTTATTGACTCACAATTGAAAGTTTTGAGATTTTTTTAGATAATTTTTAAAATTCAAGATCGATTAGACATACACAACTTTGAAAGTTGTTGGATTAAATTTGAGTTCAACCATTCTGGCGTGGGGATTGAACTATGATATTATTATTATTTTTATTTGAATACAATATGTAGGGTTTAGGGGATTGAATTCAGGAGATATATGTCAATTACCGCTGAGTTATGCTCTTTGACCGATTGAATTATGATATTTGAAATGATAATATATGTTTTTATTTATTAGACTATGATAACTTTTTCTTTCTGTGTTTTTTTCCTATATAAATTTGGGATGAGGTGTAAGACATGTATGTATGTATTTAAAGGAACTATGAATATAGATGAAAGAATAATATATAAAGGTATGATTGGTAACGTTCACGTTTTTTGTTTTAAGTTTTGTTTATCATTTTTAAGAATTTTTTTCAAAATTGTGTAGAAAGTTTGAAAATAACATAAATCAAATTTATTGTTTTTTTTCTCTTTTCCAACGTTTATTTTTTTCAAAACATAAATAAAAGTATTATTTTTTTATTCTTCACTTATAAAATGTAATATAAATATTTAAAAATAAATCAAATGTAAAAATTTTGAATATTTAGTTTAAAAAATTAATTTTCATATAAAACTTTTATTTTTTCTAATTTAGAAAGGTTTAAATTAGCAGGCCGGCTTAATCTATAAGCGAGTGAGGCGATATATAATGTATATACTTATCTAATTATTTTAATTTTTTTTATAATATTGAAAATACAAATTAGTAACATAGATAATTCTCTTGTAAATAAAAAATTCATAATTAAGCTTATAAATTTTTATAGGTTTTAATTGGCTACCTCTCAAATTTGTTAACTTTTTTTTTTCACAATTCCTTTAAATTTCCTTTAAAAAATCTCAACCATTAATATAACCTCTTTAAAATTCTCTTCTAAGTTTAGGTTGGGAGACCTTCTATATTCCTTTGTCTTTTATTTATTTATTTTTTTACAACTAAAACCTTTCAACTTCTCTTAAAAAAACTCCATAAATATATATATTAGATATGTTAAACTAATTTTAACTTTAATTCTCTCCCTCTCTCAAGTCTTCAACTTTTTATTTTTGATGTTCGTCTCACAACTCCGTGTGATTATCAATTGCTTGAGTCGAAATCAAATCTTCTTATTTGCTCAATCAATCTAGCAAAGTTAAAGTTCCATGTTTTTTCGTTCAAATTCTTTTACTTTTTTAAAAAAATATTATTTTATATTGTTGATCGTTCAATACCTTAATATATTTGTTTAGATTTGCTTACTCAGAATATCAACATGTCTACAAACAAAACATGCATTTTGATATCAAAATTTAAGAAGAAAAGAATAAAAGAGAATAAAAAAATTGATTGTAATATATATTAAATCTTTACTTAGAATATCATGGATGATGCATTCTGATTATAATAATAATCCAGGAATGTTAGAAAATATTGATTCTAAATTAATTGATTTATTGGTAGAGAAATGTCTGAGATCATTTAATTTTTTCGAAGGATGAAAATTTTAGATATTTTTATAATATTCATTATACTAAAAAAATTATCTAAAGGCGAAAAAAATGATAGAAATTAACTAGTTCAATCAAAGAATTTTGATAAAGTTTATTGTTTCTGGTATGTTATTTGATACTAAATATAATACAGTTTAATTAGGGGATGAAGGAATTAAAGATTTGAAAAATCTTAGTCGTCAGCTCAAAAGTCATTAATCGAGTAACGATCACATATTTAACCTCAATGCAAGAATTAATTAATAAAAATAATATAATTGGAATAAAGTATTAACAACAAATTATGGTGGTTGTTAAAAGGTTTATATGCTTAAAGCCTCCTGTTAAGTTTTGCCTAACATCCCATATCATCTCGGACTGTCCCTGGAAGGTAGAGAACAAGAAACAAGAATGATTGCAGAGAAAGAAACAAGAAATATTAATTACTAATTACCAAATACGATTCTGTTTTCTTTTATTAAAAAAAGAAGAAATAAAAGAAATAAGAAACATGAATTTTTACCGAACAAGCCTTAAATAATTTATTGTTTTGATATCATGTTATGCTATTGCTCGTTAAATGGTATTTATTTTGATCACAGGGACTACTTAACGAAGCTCAGGTGGACTCGTTCAACTTACCTATATACATCACATGCCCTGCAGAGATGACAAGATTGATAGAAAAAAATGGACATTTTAGCATCGAGCGAATCGAGCTAGCAGAGCCAGCGACATGGTTGAAAGGGAGCATCGACACTCGAGAGTGGATCAATCATGTAAGGGCAGCAATGGAGGGAACCTTCCTCGAGCACTTTAAGAAGGACTTAATCGACGAAATGTTCGAAAGAACCATAAGAAGGCTCTCGCAGTACTCCAAGGAGATCAATGAAAAACTCCATGAAAAGGTTCAACTTTTTGCTGTTTTGAAGCGCAAAGAATAAAATGATGCTAATTTTGATCTATTCTAAAGATCAAAGGGATAGCAACTATGCACACTGCCCTAATGTTTGTCAATAGACTTCTTGAAATTGTGGAATTGCACTTGGAATAAAGGATAAAGTGTAACTTTTAGACCACCATTTTATTCTATTTTATTTTAGGATGGACGATGGTTATCTACTACTTTAACTTAATCTATTAAAAATAAGATTAAATTACAAGTTTAGTTTTATGAGTTGGTTTGGTAACGTTTTTATTTTTATTTTTTAATGAAGAAACATAGGATTGCATGATTCGAGCACCGATACATTCAATAATGATAAAAACAAGATTTTTATTTATGCTGTAAACAAAATAGAAATGGGAACGAGAAACAAAGAACGAGAAATAAGGAACTCGTTTTTATTGTTTCTAAAATTTCTATACAATTTTGAGAAACATGAATATTTGTTATAATATTTCTATACAATATTCGTTTTTATTTTTGTTCCATTGGCTTCCTTAGTGGTTTGGTGCTGCGCCCCATTTCCATGTCTCGTGATTGTTTGAGCATTTTTTTCGAGGGAATTGTTTGAGCTTTTGATTCAACATTATTGATTTTTTAATTATATTTTTTCAAAAGGTATGTTTTTTTCATTTAAAATGAGTAATTTTTAACTTTTATATCTAATTAAATTTATAATTATAAATTTAGATAAGTGTTATAACTTGTATGTATCTATTCAATTTCTAGCAATTCACCCATTAATTTTAAAAATAAAACTCCATAAAAATCTCACTAATTTATTGAAAATAAAGATTCTCAATTAAGTTCGATTAATCTGCAAAATGCACCACTAAATAATTTTAAAAAACTTACAAATTTAATGAAAGAAACCAATTAACTTATGCAACTGATTGATTAATTTTGTGACCTGAATTGATAGAAGTATTCTCTTCCATTTGAATATTAAAGAATCTCCTTGTGAGATATACCTTATTATTAGTTGAGGGATTATGATACCTATTATCCAGTGTAGATCTATTGTTGTCGTTTCGTTTCCTACGAGACTTGCCATATTCATCGACAAACACAATCTGATAAAGGCAACTGCTCGTTCATTCGTCTCTACCCAATCTTCATCTTTCATCCCTACTGGTCGTTCCTTTAAAGCTTTATTCAACTTCTTACAGGTCAAGTAATCCTTAATCTGCATCTTCCAATATGCGAAATTGGCCCATCGAACTTCATGATTCCTTCAAAACTTGACTTCTTTGCTGATCCCATGATCTCTGAACCAAATGCTCTGATACCAATTGTTGGAAAAAAAATAGATCAATCGATCCTCTTGTAAGTTCTTCAAACAAGAACTATTTGATTTTTCTCTTCCACAGGCTAAAAGCAAATAAGTAAGTAACAATAACAAAGGAATAAGAGATAGGGATAAAAAAGCTTAACACCAGTACAGGGATTATACTGGTTCGTCCCTATCTTGGCACTACGTCCAGTCTTCTACGAAAAAGCAAGTTCAATTATAGTTGAGAATATTACAATGAAGATCTCACTCAAGATATTGCTATCTTACTTCTAAGTAGTCTAATAATGGCTGCCTAGGATTGCACATTGAAAATACCCTCACTAAACCCACGAGATACAAACTTTCTTTTTCACACACTGCCCACAACCACTCAAATCTCTCTTATTTGGATTATGTACAAATGAAACCTTAAAAAATGGTTATATTTATAAAAGGTCAAATATCTCAATCCTTATAGGAAAACAATATTGTAATCCTTATAAGACAATAATATCCTACTCCTTGTAGGAATTGGTAGTGGTATTGAAAATCATTTCCTTGTACGACATGAGTCATCTGTTTTGGCTTCATTATCCCAACAGAAAGGAGGGAAGATTCTTAAATTTTGTAGGAGAAACCCGAAAAGGACAAAAAGGGTGCTGATACACTGAAGGGATGCTGTCATTCTTCATTTTCTTCTTCTTTTGTATTCTCTAGTTCATGAGTTTTGTATTTTTTTCTTCCCTCTTCTTTGTTACGGAGTTAAGTAGCTAAATAAGGGAGTCGTGGACCTTTGTTTGTGAATGCCGATTTTCTAGTTTATAAAGTTATTTCTACTTAGTTAGAGTTTGATTTGAATTTCTAAATTCAATATGCTTGATCACCATGTTGGATGAGCTCACTATTAACTTTTGGAAGATTGTAATAGAGAGATAATAGCTTTAACTTATGTTAGATATATCTATATTCGAGTTTAGAGTGTGGGTATTGAGGAATAGGTCTCACCTAACATGGCTAAAAACTGAGTTGAAGAGTCGTTGGTTTTAACAATGGTTAAAATAACGTTGAAATCTGGAAATTTGGGAAGATTTCATGTTTGTTTGGCCAATAGCTATAGCAACTTTGTTGCTGGAGTATCGGTTAGTAACATCTCACTAACAGGGACACAACCCCCCATTTTTATAGTTGAATTTTAGTCTTCTCATTTCACTCTACTTGTGCCTTGTGCGGAAGGATTGGGTATTTTAAATTATTTTTTAATCTCATTTAAATGCATTTTTATCTTAATTGCAAAGTAGTGATAATATGAAATATCCCTTGTTTGTTTTTCTTATTTCTTGAGCAAAAGTTGAAGCATTTTAGTTATTTAATCCTTGTGGATTCGATATGTTTTATCACTTGCTACATGGGGAAAATGACATGAATGGCCTTTTCAAGAGAACTTTTTGCTTAGATAACCCACCCCTCAAAATACGTTTTCAATGGCCCACTAGTGACTTTTCTAACGTGTCAGTGGTAGTAAATGTACCCAACTACCCCTCGCAAACAAATTGAATTCTCGGGCGAGATCGTTACTTTCTCGAGCGAAACCTGAGAAAAATAACAAGATAATGACATTATGGGCGAGACTTCTGCGAGAAATAGACTGAACTACATTAATTTCCCGGTCGTGAACTACAACTATCCCGCCCGAGATATGAAGTTATGTGGTTGACCTACATTAATTTCACGTCCGTGAAATGCCACTGTCTCGCCCATGAATTGAATTTTTTCAATAAGGGAAACACCTAACTGAAAATATTCCCACGAATGACTTTACTTTTCATCAGTGCATCTTGTACTCAGCTCTCAGACAACAAAAAGAATTACGTACCTGTAAATTACCTCGGACTTTTCCATCTGAAAGTGATATTTTTCTACATGAATGAGGTAGGTGTTATTTATTTTGAAGAACATGTTTTGTCTTCATCTATGAACTCGCACATTTGCATCTCTAGCTTTTGTATAATTTTATTTTTTTAGCTTTCATCTTCGATTGAAACGTAGTGTGGATATGGGTTAAACAATTTGTTTGTTCTGGTTGTTCTAACTATTTCTAAGCCATTTTTGAACCATACTCGGGCGAAAATAATATCATTCACGCCCGAGATGTGTAAGCATCACGCTCGAGAATTTACATGTTTTTGCCCGTGAATTCTCTTAATTTCACCTTGAATTAACTTGTCGTTCGTAATGCAGGATGCCTCGTCTCTTTATTAACTATGGTGGTATGTGGAATGAGTCTCAATCTGTATCTGAAGGTGGGATTATGGGAGGTTAAGATGTAGACGATAGTATAACGTACGATGAGCTCATAAGTGCCATGTTCATGCTTACTAGAATTGATCGGGACCAGTTCAACATCTTGTTACGTCGTGTATACCTATTCAAGCCCCAATATCAGGTTCCACAGTATTATATATTCGATGATCATAACCTCAGATTTTTTTTAAGAGGGCCACCACCTCCATCTGAAGTCCCATTGTATGTATCTGTCGTATCGAAGGAAAGACACGGTAGTGGAAGCACTTCACGGAATCGTATCGTTTCAAGGACTGAAGCATGCCATTCAGTTCCTGACCAGGTAGAGCAAACCATTCCCTATTACGTGTCATCAGTTCCTTTGAATTCCACGCTTCCGGATGTTGGTCCATCATTTAACCTAGATGATGATGAAACAAACTATTGCGGTCAATTGGATGACAATGATGACAATCACGTGGAGTATGAAGGTGGGGATGATGAGAACCACGATACTGAGTTCGATCGAGATCATGAGAACCACGATAATGAGTTCGAGAGCGATGCTGATGTTGAGAACGAGCAGAAAGTAGACCCAGAGGATGTAGCCGCTCCATCTTTGGACCCCTTGATCGAAATGCACACGGTTAGTACGAATGCACCATGTGCAACTGGTCAAACTTCTTGCTCAAGGGTACTCACTCGGATAGGTGAGGACAATGAAGTTGGTCTGTCAACTGAGGACATTGCAGTAGGGAGTACCTTTCGATCGAAAGAAGAATTACAGTTCAAACTATCTGTGTTTGCGATGAGATTGAATTTTGAATATCGCGTGTAGAAATCTAATAAGAGCTTGTATACTATCGAATGCTCGGAGGATGGATGCAAATGGAACCTGCGTGCAAGGAAGATTAAAGGTTCATATACTTTCCTTATCTCTACGTTTCATGAGTTGCATAATTGCATACGTGAGGTGATGAAACATGACCACCGACAAGCTTGAAGTCATGTCGTGGGCCAGCTCATAAAATCCAACCTCGAGGATGTAAGTCGTCGTTATCGTCTAAATGATATTGTTAATGACATGCGGAAAAATTATGGCGTAAACATCCGATATAAAAGGCTTGGCGTGCGAGAGAAAGAGCGTTGGATATACTAATGGGATCGCCTAAGAAGTCCTATACGCTCATGCGTAAATATGGCGAGGCGTTGAAATCGGTGAACCCGGGCACGATTTTTTCCATGAAGCTAGAAGATGATAAATACTTTCAGTATGCATTCATGGCTCTAGGCTGCTCAATAAGAGGCTTTAGAAGTTACATTCGATCTGTGCTTGTCATTGACGGTGCACATCTGAAGGGAAAGGATAAAGGTGTGATACTTATAGCCTCCTCTGTCGATGGGAATAATCAGATATATCCACTAGTGTTTGGAATTGTGGACAAGGAAACAGACAGCTCATGGACTTGGTTTTTGGAGCATGTGAAGATTTGTATTGGAGACATTAGTGGATTGGTTTTCGTGTCCGACTGGCACCAAACCATTAATCATTATGTATCTGTTGTCTTCCCCAACGCGAA